CACACATACTCAATGTCATTTTATTAACACAGCACCAAATCACAACAGTCGCCACAAGGTGCTTCATATCAAATATCAACCATAAGGCCGTGCCACGTCCCAGTAGGATGACCTGTGTGACAGACAGTTTGAGCTGGTCGTGTGAAACGCTGCACAGTCATTACAGGGCTCCGTGTAATGATACTGTATACTTGTATGTTATTGCGCTATCAGTACTTTACAGCCTGTCTGTGGTCTGACACAGTGTATGTCACACTTTGCAGGTGCACAAAGCTCAGCCCATCAGACACTACAAACCTGTAGCTGTGAAGAAGAGCGAAGTTCCTCTTACAGTCCCGGAGTCTCCAAACTTCTCTGATCGCTTCCGCTTGTGACCACTTTTGTTGTGAAATGTAACGTTACCACAGAAATCTCTGACCTGAAATTTTGTTTTTACATTGCTTTTACATTTTTCTTTTTTCCATTGTTAGCTTTGTATTTTAACTGCTTGATGTACACTTATTAATGTGACTGTTTTAAATTACAGAATAAAACTTCATCTACACCCACCAATAGTTATTGGCCTGTTAACTGCTGAGTTTGTTCTGTCAGATTGTTTGACATCAGCACAAAGTTGCCAGTTTATTTGCTAAAGAGCTCTTTTTGTGATTGGCCAGGAACTGGAGTGCTATACAAATAAAATAACTTGTGCGTCCATGGGGAAGAATTATTACAAAGTTTAATATCTAAATTTTAACACTTGGCATCAGACTTCTCCTGGTTGGCTGGTTTCCTGATGGTGCTCTCAGCTGAACCACCAAACCAGAGGCGCTGTTTCATAAGACGAGCCCTCTCACTGAGCACTGCTGAGACTTTTAATCATCATTATTCTTAAATATGTTTATACACACAACTTGATGGTTTTGAGTCAGACCGTTCAGTGAGACTGAACCTCACTGTCCTACAAATTAAAGCTCATGAACATCTGTTTCAAGAATAAAAGTGAGCTATGATTCCAATATGAAACTTCTCAGTGTGGCTTTTATCTAATACAGTACAAAACAGGCTTTGGAGTGTCTGAATAAAGCTGCTTTAGCTACAGTAAAGATATATTTGCTGACGTAAAATCAAGCAAAACTTATTTTTACAAATCAAAGGTAAGCTGCCTGCAATGAAGTTCAGCTGAAAACATGACTTGTGTTACTACACAAGCTGCCATCTGGATGGCCCAATAAAACTAATGGGTCCAAGCATTTACAGGCTTCCTATGCCTGACCCACGTTGGTTTTTGCAGCGTTACCTCTTTAAAAAAACAGAACTGAGATCAAAGAAATGCAAAATAAACCAATTTAACATCCAGCTGTCCGTCCATCCAGCACCATGAATGCTGAATGACACAGCTTCTCCAGCAACAGATGCTGCCATTCTGTGAGCTCTTGGTGATTTCAGCACTGCAAGTATTCTAAAGTCAAAATGAACATATTATAAAATGTATTTTAAAAAAAAAAAGTCATCTCCTGTGTGTTTGTAACGTCTTTATGTGCACGCTTTTCCACAACCTCACTTCCTCCTTTCACATGAGAAGTGTGTGAGCTGTGACATCACCTATTGGTTTCTTAAATATCCCTTTGAAGCTGTTCAAAAACCTGACAAGAAGTGGTGCACCTTACAGAAATGCTTAATTATGACAAAACCTATGAACAAATAGATAACTTAGGCCTTTCAAACCTCAGTGAGCCAGTCAACAATTCAAATTACACCTTTGATGGTTACTGGCCTGAATACAAATGAGCATATGATGGGTAACACCTGCAGACTGCTGCTGAAAAATACTCATGGGCAAAAGATCACTTTAAATAAAAGTTCTCATCTTAAGTGGTGATAAAATTGTGTTTTTCATGTTTCACTACAGAAAAGTTTGTCTAATGCAGCTAATAGTTCATCATCGTGTGAGTGTGACAGAAGCCATATCAGAATAAAGGAAATGAGTTGATGAAAACAAAAACAATTCTGCTTTAAATCGGATGATGCAGAGAATGATGCTGGACCATGTGGTCAATGTGTCCCGCTTGGTCAAGTTCAGCCATCTTTGTGAGCTCAGGGATCCACAAAGGACACTGCGATGTAGCGGACACCAGCGGTGGTGGGCAGACCTTCGTGGTAGTGGGTGAGACGGCCCGGGTGCAGAAGGGCCCAGCCTTTACGAGGAGCCTGAATGGAGCAGTCATAGCGGAGGAACCTGCATCCACCACCCTGCAGCCAAGAAACAGTACATATCAACAGCTGATGGCTGTGGCAGTTTTATGATCATTAACAACCCTTTAACAATTTCCTGAGCTCTTCATTAACAGAAATGATACAAAAGCCTTTTTTTCTATGCCTCACTGCCACAAACTGAAGAGGACAATCAACATTCAGATTTGGGCTGCTGGTAAACCAGCTGTTTGTCTTTTAATGTTTGCATGAAGAATGGATTTATTTCATTCTGTGATCAAAAGAATGAATTTGTAATGATTTGGTCTCTGTGTGAATAAAACCAAAATACATGTTAACTGAAACGTAGGTGGAAATGGAGCACTTGACACTCACCTGGTAATCAAGGTCTACTTGGTTGAGTGCAATGTTTACAGTGAATGTGGAGGCATCATGGTGCGGCCTTAAGGAGGGTTGCTCATCTGGCTTATATCTAACTACAAAGGCTAATTCGAAGTGAGCCTGCAAACACACAGAGGGAAAAGAATCATGCAAACGTTTGCCTTTAGCCCCCTGTACACAGATACACTCCAGTTTATTGAATAAAAGCAGAATCCTGGTTCTTGGTCCAGCATTCACCTCCAGAGATGGAACAGAATGTGTAGCTGTCATGAGAGGGGTCAGGTTTCTGTCCCACTACACTAAATCGACTGGAGTGTAACACGCTGATGATAAGACATGCTGGTCAGTAATACACACACAGGATGGTAAATGGCCTGTATTTATATAGCGCTTTACTAGTCCCTACCCCAAAGCGCTTTACATATCCAGTCATCCACCCATTCATGCACACATTCACACACTGGTGATGGCAAGCTACATTGTAGCCACAGCCACCCTGGGGCACACTGACAGAGGCGAGGCTGCCGAACACTGGCGCCACCGGGCCCTCTGACCACCACCAGTAGGCAACGGGTGAAGTGTCTTGCCCAAGGACACAACGACTGAGACTGTCCGAGCCGGGGCTCGAACCGGCAACCTTCCAATTACAAGGCGAACTCCCAACTCTTGAGCCACGATCGCCCCAGCACAGATAGCAGCACAGAAACAATGAGAGGTCGACTGTTATCCTGTTTTACTCAACAAGTTCATAACATTTAACGGCTGATTTTGTCCTCCAGTTGTTCTACCAGTTAAATAACCAGATATCAAAATCATTGGTCATCACCTGATCATTACACAGTACTTTCAAACATCTCAGAAGAGATGCAGTTACATCTGTCGTGGCCCTTTTTTAAGACACTCCGGCTAGGCCGGCCATGCCCCACAGCTTACATATAAGCGTTCCCAAACCACTGCTCTTATCGTTAATGGTGCTGTGAATGGAATGCTTGATGTGTTATGACCTGGGAAGCCTGAGTAAAACTCGCAACACGAGAACAAGCCAGGTTCCCCTAGGAGGACAGAGAAGCTCTTGCTCGCTGAGCTAATGCATCAGCTACAGCCGGGTCCCACTGGCCAGGTAAACCCGTGATGGCGCGGGCAGCCCAAACAGACTAATGATTAAGATGGCAGATGAAATCAGGATGAAATTGTGTTGTTGGCCACGAACACATTTGAATCCGAGGGGATTGAAGCCTCCAAGAAAGTATTGTTTGAGCTCTGCCCCACTACCTCACAGCGGTGCGTTGGATATAAAGGACAGCATAAAGACGCCAACAATATTAAACTCTGTCTTAAAGTGCTGAATGAGTGTGGGGAGAATATCCCAACATTTGTCTCTCATCACCTGGATGATTTGCCGCCTGTTACATACTCCACCATGGATGTGTGTTGTCTACTACGGCGAATGGACCAGCTGTGTGCTGAGGTGGGTGCTTTAAAACATGTAGTTAAACTACAGGCGGATGTCTGCGAGCAAGTTATGACCAATGCTGTGGAGGTCGACCAACGTGTGACTGCTCTTGAGTGTAGGTCTGAGGTGCCGGCTGAGCCTGTAACTCTGAATGCTCGGGGGTCGGGGACCGCTTCCCACGTTCCCTTGGGGAAACACGCAGAGGAGCGGTGGGGGAGTCGAAGTAAAGGCGGCCCGCGCGGAAGGCAGGGAGCCGGAGCTTTGGCTGTACAGCTGATGGACATGCAGCTTTAGCAAACATGACTATTAGGTATGAGGTAACTGTGTCAGACCATATACTTTTGGTTTTACCGTGAATGTGGAACAAATGCCAGCAAAAAAAAAAAAAAAAAAAAAGGAAATAATATTGCTAATATTGCTACCAGTGTAAAATTAGACTGGTCATCATTTAGTGAAGATGATTTCTTAGCTTATCATAGTAATACCGATATACATCTGAACAACATTTCTTTGCCCAAAGAAGCTATTTTGTGCATATATATATATATATATAAAAGCCGGGTGGGAAGCTGGTCCTGCAGGCTGGAGAACTCTCACACGCCGGCTGACACGTGAGACACAGAAAGGTCGTAACAGAAATCCTGCCAGGCTACTGAGAAAGGTTCTCACCGCAAAGGTAAACGGACACACACTGTCACCACACACTGAACTGCACACTCACGGTACCACACAAAGTACACACATGCACACCAAATGATCACAGGTTTCATGTCTGTCAGCTGTTTTATATGTAAGCTGTGGGATGTGGCCGGCCTAGCTGGAGTGTCTTAAAGAAGTATTCATGTGCCATTGCTTGAAATTTCTTCCTGTTTCTACAAACACTCAGGTATATGTGTGTACTAAAGATTTAAAAAAAATGAATCAGTGCATGTGACACCAAAATGTCAAGAGCAGGTGACGTAAATGAGCTGAGAATGTGTTCACAGTGTGCTTCTTCAGTAAAGCTGAGAACATCCTTCACAGATCTCACATGGAAGGAGATTCTTGAATTTTCTCTGAAACATTTCACAAGTGTGTGTAGTGATGGTCTTACCTTGGTGTAGTATCCAGGGAACATTTTTTCTGTGATTGGTACCACATACTCCACTAAGAATTTCTGCCATTCTTTTTCAAAGTTGATTTGAATCATATGGATGTCGATGGTGGGGACATTCTCATAGCCACCAGTGATTCGGTTATCCTGGAAAAACAAGAAACTTCTATCAGGTATATAGTTAAAGTACAGGAGGTATTCAGGACCAGATTCCAGAAAGGTTGGGAGCCTGTACGGTGTGAATAAAAACAAATACAGTTATTTGTAAATCTCCATATTTTAAAACCACATTTTATTCACAACAGAATATAGAAAACATTAAATGTATGAACTGGGAAACTGACTTTATAAAAAAGACACTTATGGCTTTTTTCGGATTTGATGACAGCAACAGGCTGAAAAAGTAAGTAGTACTAAAAAGAAACTGGAGCTGT